TTATAATTTGTTTTGCTTATAAATTGATTTTAGCTTGATCTCTAAGCCAAGTTTTCTATTGAATAGCAATTTGCAGCTGTTGCTAAGAATAATTTTAAAAGTGCAATTCAAGCAAATCAAATAGCAAGTTAGCAAAATCTGTCTTTTTTTTTTTTATTCAACATCTTCTTTTCCAACAAGGCTGCAAGCAACCACTTCTAGAGACGGAAGTTACTGGAAGAAAAAAAATGAAGTTTATAGAGCAAGATAATGATTGACAGATGACTTAAAAGATTACAATGTATATGAATCAGGAAAGCAAGATGAAGGAAGCAAATTCCAAAGAACTAATGCTTGACGAAAAAAACTAGACAAATAAAATTTTTGGAGCACTATGGAATAGTCACAATAAAAGGATGAGACTTAACTGAATGGCGAGTAACATGAGAATGAATTTTAGTAGATAGCACAAGAGACTCTAGCTCTATAGAGCAGTGCTCATTATAGTATTTATAGAAAAGAGAAAAAGAATCAACATTACTACGATGTGATAATGATTGGAGGATAACTGCAAGAACATGTTTAATGTTTACAATGTGTTTTTGCACCTTATCTATATGAGAAAGGGTATCATTGGTAGATTTGCCCCATATATGGCAACAGTACATACAAGGATGGATTTAAGTTTTATAGAGATAAAGAATAAAATCCGGAGTAAGAAAGTGGCGAGCACGATAAAGAGATGCAACCTTAGCAGATACTAATTTTGCAATCGATTTGATATATGGTTTCCAAGAAATATCAGAGGTAAAAGTTAATCCTAGAAGATGAAGGGTAGATAACTAATCAAGTACTTTACCATTCATAAATATAAGTTTAGATTATTGTAATATTTTTATTTTTTTAAATTTCACCAGCCACTGAGAGCCCTATGTTGTAGCAGAAATGAGATCCTCTTTAAGCTTAAATGCCCCCTCTGAGCAATCAGAGAGTCCGTTTAGACAGTTTTGCAGACAAGTTTATAAAGCTATGTGAAGACTGGTCATAATTGCCTCAGATTCGTATTATGGAGTCAAAAGAATTATGATGTTTGCCATAGCTAAGAGCAAGTACAATAGCTGGATCTAATGTAAGGTCTGTACAAGTACTCCATGCATTACTCTGTGGACAGAGCGGTATGGTCTCTTGTTGTCTAATATTATTCGTGCTATGTCATCTAGTCAGAAAATTAACATAAAGAAATATAGAGACATATGTAAGGAGACGAGCATTCTACTTTGACAAGAAATGCCCTGGGTTAGTTTGGCACCGGCTATTCATAAGTTATTAGGACATAATAGGGAGCTATAGGGAGGGAGGGAATATTATTAGGACATAATAGGGAGCTAATTGAGTTAAATAATGGCACAGGACTTAAATCATGGAGTGAGGAAGCCATCGAGGCCAACAACAAACAACTGAGAATATTTAGAGAAAAATTATCAAGAAAAACAAATCAGTTGCAGAACTTGGAAGAATATTTTAAAAGACTCTGGATAGGTTCTGATCCTTTAGTTACAGAGCAAAAGAACCAAGTCGAATACAATGCAAATCGTGTAGTGATATAGGGTATAGTAAAAAAACATGCTTCAAAGTACATGAAAATGACATTGTTAATACTTTGTTTATGTAAAATGAAAAAATAAAACTTGAGCGTTTCCTTGTATTTTGTCTTTTTAGAAAATTACATAAAATATCTAGACCAATATATTTAAAGAAAAAAAAAACGGGTGTTTGGTATATATGTGACATACCAAATTAAAGGTAACAATATGCAGTTTCCAAATAATATATGGTTTAGTATTACCAAAATATCTGGTTTATGAGATATTTGAAGAAGTATACCAAACTTATGATATTTTTTTTGTGGAAACAGACTTTTCCATTCAATTTTTTGAAATGAAAGAAAAAATTTTTATTTAAAACATTAAAAAAAATATTGAAATAAATATTTTTATTTTTTTCATTCAATTTCTTAGCAAATAAAAGATTTTTTTCAGATTTGACTGTAAATCTGGTGCATATATTTCAATTTAGAGAATGTATGTAAAAAATCTAACTTTGCAGTATGAACTTTTTTTAATGTCTTTTAAAACTTTGAAAGGTTGTCATTTCTTAACCAGACATGATAATGATCTCTAGTCTTTTCCATTTAATTTGAATTTCATTTTAGTTTCAAAAAATCATAAATTTTTAATCCTGAAAAATAGATTTTTTCATTTTGCTCACAACTTAGATCACTGTGTGTTGGCTTCTTATCAAGACAAGAATAAATGGTAGTATCATCAGCAAACAATGCCACCTTGGATGTTAGAATATCAGGAATAAATTATAACTGTAAATTAAAAAGAGCATAGAACCAAGGATAGATCCTTGAGGAATCCCTAAAGTGACTGGATATAAAGAAGAGTGCTGTCCATCATGGACAACTTTTTTACTGCAATTGGTAAGGAAAGATTCAATAATCTTAAAGATGTTACCTGATACACTGTAAGAAGAAAGCTTATGAAGAAGACCAGCATGCCAAACTTAATCAAAAGCTTTAGAAATGTTAAGAGCTATAGCCTTAACCTTTCCACATCTATCTAATGCATGACAAAAACTATCAGTTATTACTGTTAGCAAATCAGCTGTAGAACAAGAAGAGCGAAATCCATATTGATAATCAGAAAGTTATAAAATTCAAGATGAGAAATTAAGTGTTTGTTTATTAAAGATTCAAAAACCTTATGATAGGAAGAAGACTAATGGGACAGTAGTTAGACGAGTCAGATCAAAACAGCATTTTTAGGAAATTTAGGAAAACAGCATCTGTTATCCTAAATTTCAAAAACTCAGGCTCTCCAGAGTTTTTGAAATTTAGGATAACAGATGCTGTTTTCCAGCAGGCTAGAAAACAAGACTCTGATAAGCACTTGGTAAGTATTTTAAGAAAGTATAGACAGCAGCTCCGTAGAACACTTCTGCAAGACTTCAACAGGTATGTTGTCTGGACCACAAGCTGTAGAAGAGTCTAATCAAAAGCTGGAGTGATACGAATGTCAAGCTATGGATCAACCTGTTTGTTGGCTATATCAGGTAGAATGCAACTAGTGGAATCAAGAGATGATATTGATGAAAAGCTCTTAGTAAACAATTTAGCTTTGCCTTTAGGTGAGGTGACAAAATCTGAAAGAGAGTTGATATAACAGATTTGCCCTTATTATAGATACTGTTAAAGATGCTCCAGAAGTTATGAGAGCCTAATTTTTGAAATGAAATACAAGATTTACCTAAGAATAGCAGGTTTTGGCGCTAGACAAAACCTTTCCACAATGGTTTCTAGCAATAGTAAACAGACCTCTGTTTTCTGGAGAACTGTTTTGCTAATAGATATGGAAGTAATGGTATCAATTAGAATTTTTTTTTTTTTTTTTATTTTAATTCACCTCCTCAAGGCCGAGAAGGCCACTACAGACGAGGAGGCTACTTATTTGTGGTTAAAACCCTCTCTCAACTCTATAACTCCGAAACACGAACCTTGACGAACAAGGCCGCTGCGCGGAGAAACAAGTTGAGCGCGGTACTACCAGGGACATGGTGGGGATCGAACTCGGAACCACTCGTTTATGAAGCAAGCGCTGTACCACTACACCACTACCGCATTATTGCAGCAGCACAATGTGAGGAAAACCATTAAGAGTAAGGCTTGACTTGGATTCATTGAGAGGGAATAAATGACTTCTTTATGTTAACTGCTAAACTACACTTCATATAAATCATGCTATTTTTCGCTCTTATCTCAGATATTATCAAGTTTGGGTACAATAAGTTTGCAAAATAAAGTTATTTCCAACATACTAATTTGAACTGTATGATACTCTATTTTTCATCAAAAACCTTTATAATAGGTTACTTTATTCAACTATCAAATTGCCTATATATTTGATCCAAAATTATAATAACCTACCTCTTACATACATATACTTTTTTTGATAATAGGAAAAATGGTAATAATATGTTACCATCTGCTTGCAATTTTAAGTTATCTCTACCTAAATATTGAATTGTTCATTATGGCTATGAATCCACATAACATAAAAGCATAAAAACATTGAACAATCTTTCTTACCTACTAAAAATCTTAAATCACACTCAAAATTTACTGCTCACTTTAACTATTTTTAGAAAAATGTTGTTCATAAATTTTATAACATTCTACAACTTATTATTAATAACCCTGAGCTTCTATTTATCTAATACTTCTCTCTTATCTCTTGTGTTATATTACTAATTTAAATATCTTTTACTAAATTTTTTATTTTAATCTTACGTAAACTAAATATTTTTATTATTATAAATATTATTATTATTATTATTATTATTATTATTATTATTATTATTATTATTATTATTATTATTATTATTATTATTATTATTATTGCTACTATTATTATTATTATTATTAAAGTATAAGTATAACATGTGTTGGATAAGAATTCCTATTATTACAAAAGTACAGTTTGCAGTTACGGAGGAAACTTTATCTTATTGTTGTAATACAAAATTTTAAACAAGCACAAATTCATTCTCTCTGAGATAATTTGTTGATTAAGAAAGTAAGTTAGTTTAATGTTTAATTAATGGTTTCATTTCTAAAGTGAGTAAATTAATGTTTGAATTAATAAACAACAGAAACGTATTTCTGAACAGGACGTTTTAGAACTCAATTTTTTCATACACTTTTCTTTAACTTAAACATTTGCAAATGAAGAATAATTTAATTCTACAGAAATTTCTTTTTACTGTTGTCAAGTAAAAAGATTTTTTTACTCTACAACAATGTATAACAATACCCCATTTATATACAAATTACATCCTATGGTGAAATTAAAAGATATAATCAAAGATCCACAGTGATTTGAATGATTTTAGAATAATTCAGTTATACTAATTTTGTTTTACGCCATGCATTATAAACTTATATAAAAAAAACAAATTACCTAAAAATCCTAAAACTTTTTTCTGTTTCTCTTCTTTATCAGGAAATTGATTTTCATTTGGTGCATATTTGCTTGGGCTATTAAACATTGTTTTTCTAAACTAAAAGAATTTCCAGTATCAGTTAATAAGTGCGCTCAATCAAATATTAAAAGCAGTAAAAAGAATTATAATTTTCATTATGACATTAAAAAGAACTAATAGTGCAAGAAGGAAGTAAATTGAGTCTAAAACTTAAAACTTTTGAATATTACTTTTTTTCTTTTTTAATTAATCATTATTTGAATAAACCTTAGGAAAAAACTATTTTCGGTATAAAAACCATGTCATTGGGTGTCTTGGTGCATGATCATTTTAAGACTTGACAAATATTTTCTGTTTAAATGTATATTTTCTGCTCCTATTGTAACATGAAAAATAAAAATTAACAGTAAAATATTTTTAGTCAAGCACAAAATAATTTAAACTCAAAAGTGCTGGCTAAATGAAGAAGACTGATATATATATATATATATATATATATATATATATATATATATATATATATATATATATATATATATATATATATACATATATATATATATATATAGGCCTGTACCAAGGGCAGGGCCAGCCGGGCTTCAGCCCGAGGCGCCAGACTTGGAAAGGCCCAAAGTTCCCGAAAAATAAATTAAAAGTAAATTTAATTAAAAAAATAAATAAATAAATGAAAATTAATATCATTTTGAAAAAAATATTTATAGCATCTTTTTGAAGTTGATAAAAAAAATTAATAAAAATTGCGCTTCTTTACATAAACTCCAACTTATATGGAACACACTTTATGTCATTAGGTGTCTTGGTGCATGATCATTTTAAGACTCGACAAACGCTTTCTGTTTAAACGCATATTTTCTGCTCTCATTGTAACATGGAAAATAAACATTAACAGTAAAATATTTTTAGTCAAGCACAAAATAACTTGAATATAAATATATTTATATTTACATATATATATTTATATATTTATCCTATATATATATATATATATATATATATATATATATATATATATAATATATATATATATATATATATATATATATATATATATATATATATATATATATATATATAAATATATATATATATATATATATATATATACATATATATATATATATATATATATATACATATATATATATATATATATATATATATATATATATATATATATTTATATATATATATATATATATATATATATATATATATGTATATATATATATTATATATATATATATATATATATATATATATATAATATATATATATATATATATATACATATATATATATATATATATATATATGTATATATATAAATATATATATATATATATATATATATATATATATATATATATATATATATATATATATATATATATATATATATATATATAAAGGCCCGTACCAAGCGGGGCCAGCCGGGCTAGCCCAAAGTTCCCGAAAAATAAATTAAAAGTAAATTTAATTAAACAAATAAATTAATATCATTTTGAAACAAATATTTATTGCATTTTTTTGAAGTTGATAAAAAAATTAATTAAAATTGCGCCTCTTTACATAAACTCCAATTTATAAAAGCTCATTTACTGAACAGATCTGCTCAGTAAATGAGTTTATATAAATTGAAAATTATGCAAGTTTATTTATATAAATAAATAAATGTTTTATAAGTTATAGTTTTTTTTATAAGTTTATGTTTTATAAGTTGGAGTTTATGTAAGTTTATGTTTGACAAGTTGGAGTTTATGTTAAAGGGCACTCTTCTGCTGCAGAAGAGCGCCCTTTAACTCTAAAATAGTTTATATATATTTTTAAAAATATCTTCTTTTTATTCAGTAAATTCAATATTAATTTTATTTATATTTGTTATATTTTAAGACTATATGGACACTGTCCATATTTTCTATAGTCGATTTTGTAAAATGATTCAAAGTTATTACTTATGATGGGACAGTTAATTGAAAAGTCCCATCATAAGAAATAACTTTGAATCTTTTTACAAAATCTTTAAAAAGAAAAAAAAAGAAAAATCACATTTCATTAAGATCATTTTTTAGATTGCAAAAAAAGCATTATTTGTTTTCAAAACTTAGTTAAAACATGTTTATCAACTATAGTGAACATTAAGTTTCTATAATGAATCGCACCAAAAAATTATCTAGCGCTCAATTTAAGAAGAAAAAAAAACTACAAAATTGTTTCAAGAATTGGTTGGTAACTAACTCTGCAGAGGAAAAGTAAATTATTTCAGAGGATATTAATATTGATGTTAATGAAAGTTTAACAGATAAAGTTTTTCATACAGTTCAAATTAATGACTTAAGTTCAGATTACAATTTGGAATTAATTGAAGAGGAGATCTTCATTAGCCAAAGTCAAGAAGAATTTTGCACAAATAATTCAGAAACAACAAGAGGGTATGGAAATTCCCAGCTTTCTAACCGGGCTGAAATAGATCACAATGAACTTCATTCAGAAATACCAGATATTCCGCTAACCTTAGGAAAAAACTTTCAATACAGGGATCCAGCAACATGTCCTAAACTAACGGACAACATAAGATGCTATTTGATTCAACATGGGCCAGAGCAAGAAAGAAGACCATTTTCCCCATACACGCTGTGTGATTTTGACAACAGAAAGCGACACTTCAGCCCAAAATAGTATGAAAAAAATCATCCCATTGTTTAAAAATCTCTTCGCCATTGGTTGCTGTACAGCGACAAAAAAGATTCTTTGTTTTGTTTTTGCTGTTTGATATTTTTTAACAGCAAAAACCAACAATTTCTCAGAAAGTTCAAAAGGATTTTGTGAATGGAAAAAACTAAACCCAAGAGTTCTTGAACATGAAAACAGCAATGAACACCAAAGATGCTATTCTGATTGAAAAACTCTCGAAAAAAAACCTCGAAGAAGAAAAGACCATGGATTCTGATCTGCAGAGAGATATCAATGGAGAAATGAAAAAGTGGAAAGAAATCTTGAAAGTGATTGTTGATGTAATTTTTTTCTGTGCCAGGAACAATCTTGCCCTTCGGGTCACAACAGAAGTCATTGGTCAACAAAACAGTGGCCTTTTTCTGAACTTGATTGAGCTATAAAGCAATTATTATCCTTTAGTGGCTGAACACATTGCATCTGTTAAAGCAAAGAAAACTACAACACCTTACTTTTCTCCTCGAATTGATCGAATGAGTTGATTGAGTTACTTGGGCAGAAAGTCAGAAAGGAAATATTGTCAAACATCAAAGAAGCTAAATACTACTGTGTTTTTGTTTGACTGCACTCCAGATTCCTCCCATAAAGTGCAGATGACCCAGATAATTAGGTATGTCCACATCAATGATGAAACCTGTACAATTGAGGAAAGCTTAGTTGACTGCATTGAATGTCACAAAAAAACCAGAAAAAGTCTTGTAACAGAGATCACTGAAAAATTAGAGAAAGACGGTCTAAAGATTTCTGATTGCTGCAGTTAAGGTTATGACAATGGAACCAATATGTCTGGAAAATACAATGGCATCCAAGCTCATATCCATTCTCTTAGTGAGTCAGCAAGATTTGTTCCTTGTGCAGCTCACACTTTAAATCTTGTTGTTGTCAATGCTGCTGAGGTTTCCCCACTCATGATTACATTTTTTGCAAAAGTTCAAGCCATCTTTAACTTTTTTTCAAATTTTACATAAGATACAGGCAGCTCTAATTGCTTTTGTATCTTGACTGATGATATCCAGTGATCCTTCTTGACGGATCTGACAATCATAGAATCCTCTCTAGAAGTGGTGGAACGCGGTCTTCCACCTTTGTTATCTGCTGCCAACTTCCCTGTAGAACGATATTCAGAACATGATCTTGATACGGTCCATTTTTTCACACAATATTTATCGCAAACACTTTTTGTGACATTCCACTTACATAATCTCCAAAAATAAATAATCACGCTTCTCAAGGCGTTAAAAATTATTAAAAATAAATAATCACGCTTCTCAACGTGTTACATTTACCTTGTGATGATACAATAATGCTTTGTGAAACAAACGTTTGGTTGGATGTGGACAGTATTGATGTAATGAAACACTTGTTGTATTTTGCTTCTTGTATTAAGGTTCTTTGATAAAACACTTTGATTAAACTCACTTCGATAAACTGTCTTGATAATACTGACTGATTGACTTACATATACTGACTGAATTACATGTCAGTTTACATGTCTCTTATATAGTAAAATGAACCTGTGTAAACCTGTTCTGAAAGTTTCTAGATGCTTTTTTTCGATGCTTCTGGAAGCTTCTGGATGCGTCTGGATGCTTCTGAATATTTCTGGATATTTCTGGATGCTTCTGGATGCTTTCAAATGCTTCTTCTGGAAACTTCTGGAAGCTTCTGCATGCTTATGGAAACTTCTAGAAACTTCTGTATACTTCCTTTAATTATTAAAAAAATTCTGTGATGTTGACACGGACCAGACTTAAGAAAATGAAACAAACCAAAAAAGTTGCACTTGTTTTGTTCACTGCAAAATGGCACTTGTCAACAAAATTCTGCCTGTGTACTGTCACCTGTCAGCTGATTGCTCATGTCATGGCATGCTATGACTCCAGACTCCTGAACTGTTTGCTGTGCTAGTATAGTTTGTTTCGTTTTTAAGACATTTAAAATTAGGAACACTTTTTAGCATTGTTCGATATTGGTTGCAAATATTTTTTCCAATACTGTATATATATATATTATATATATATATATATATATATATATATATATATATATATATATATATATATATATATATAAACCGTATGGTACTAAAACACGTATTTACCGGTATAGGCGCCCAAAAAAAGCGCCCAAAAGTTATTTTCATTTTTAATTTTTTTATTGATTTTTTATGAAAAAAATTTAGTTTTAAATGCAGTAGTATATAAATAATTCTCAGTTTAATTTAGCTACCTCATTTTTTCTTCAGGAAAATAAAAAGAATTAAAAAGAAATTGCTTTTTTACATAACTACGTGACAAAATTTGACTTCGGTTATTAACTTTTAAAAAAATGAGTTACTTATAACAAAAGTCATTACGAAACTTAATTTGAAAACCACATTATAAAAATTTATAACAATGAAATGTATAAAAGATTTGCTTTTTTGAAAGTTAAAGCGTTTTTAAATATCCATTCAGCGTAAGGTTAATTTTTGTTTTTGGCAAGTAAGAGTAAACTGCTTTTGATAATAAATAAACAAAAATAAAAAATAACTTGTAACTATCACGCAAACTTGTAACTATCCTTGTTTTCAAATTAAAATAATATAATATTTTTAAAATAATGTTTACTGTTATTATCTTTAATTTAAATATATCTTTAATTATCTTTAACTTAAAAGGCGTCTTAAAATCACTTAAAAAATTATAACCTTTAGTAAAAGTTAAATGAACAGATTTACTAATATTTAAATCAAAAATTTAAATTTAAAATGATAGAAACTAAATTTATTAAATGCTTATGTTTTTATTCAAATAGTTTATTAAATACGTTTATTAAATGCTTATCAAATTTGTTTATTAAATGCTTATGTTTTTAATTCAAATACAAGACATAAAACTATTTTGTTGATTTTACAAATATTACACAATATAATATATGTAAATATATTATGTAGTGTAAATATTGATTAAATTTTTTAAATTATTATTTTAAATTAAATTTACTAAAATATAGTTAATAACTGTTTAAAATACTTTAAACAATTTTCAATAATTATTTACTGATAGCGTGGTATATGCAACAAAAGCGTTTATTAAAATCTTAAGAAAAATAGTTTTCTTTTAGCTAAAGTAAGTTCGTCCACCAATAAATTCATGTATTCAAAAAATGCCTTTAAATCAACACCTTATTATAGGATAAAACTGAACAAGATAAACATAAATGATTATTAAGAAAATGATTATTAAAATTAGGGAGGAAATATATATATATATATATATATATATATATATATATATATATATATATATATATATATATATATATATATATATATATATATATATATATATATATACAGTATTAATAAAATGTAATCCAGAAATACTAATAGAGAAGACCAGCATGCCAAACTTTATTGAAAGCTATTAGATCCCTGCAGGCAGGAAAATAAGATTCATACTTGTTAAACTTTAAGAGTAATGAAGAGAGATCTAAGAAACACTTTCGTATGACTGTGATAAGAATGTTGTCTAAACAACAAGCTGTAGAAAAGAAATAACTTTAACAACAGAAGCAGGAGAGTTTGGATGTATAACAATAGATTAAACTGTTTCATTGGGATAATAGGAGGAGTGTATTCATAAGAATTAAGAGATGAATTTGAGGAAATGTTTTTTGCATACTGTTCTGCTGCATCCTTGGGAGGGGTATAAAGATCAAACCTATGTATTACTAATGTCTCTACTAATACCTCTATTAATCTCTAAATTACTACTAATACCTCTCTAAATGAAGCAGATAAATATGCAAAAAACTTTTCCTTAAATTCATTCATTTTATGCATGATATCATCATGCATAAAATGGAATGTTAGACTTGCCTTTACTAATGACATTGCTAAAAATTTCTTTACTAATGTCATTAAACTTTACTAATGTCATTAGACTTTTCAGCATTGTCATTAGTAATGACAATGCTAAAAAGTCTAGAACCGAATTTATGGGATAAAGTACAAGATTTAGATAATAATTTACCTTGAACAGTATAGTAATTTACTTTGACTAATAGCTTCTTTATCAGACAATACCATTTGGCATTAATTTCACGTTATAATAAAAAAATGTTAAAACTACTAGATTTTTGCAACTATTAGTTTTGGGTAAATTATGTTTTTTTCCGTTAGTGTACAAATTAAAAATATTTATAAACAAAAAAAACGTATATTAGGCGCCTAATCATAGTTATACAGTAGAGCAATGTTTATTCGCGTTGTAGGTAATGCGTAATTGTTTGACTATAGTTGGTATAAGGGCATGGTAATAGTTTTACGCGTGTATGTGTAACGTTCTACGCACGTAAAACATATCAAGCGTGCGTCGACTGTTCAACGCTTTTAGCAACGGTGATTTCCTGTCATTTTAGTAATTATGAGGGTTCATTATCGAAATTGCAATTTTCGAAAATTTTCGATTAAAAAGTTATCGAAATACTTCTTTTTTTTTCGAAGTCTAAAAAATCTTTCGAAAATAATCACAATAATTTTGAAAAAAAAAAGTAATTTAGAAATGTGAAATTAATTTCGAAATAAAAAGGTGGATTTCGAAAAGTAAAATTAATTTCGAAAGAAAAAAAAGAATTTCGAAAAGTGAAATTAGTAAAGAAAGAAAAAAAAGAGTTTTGAAAAGTTAAATTAACTTCAAAAGAAAAAAAAAGAATTTCGAAGTGTGCAATTAATTTCGAAAAAAACCCAAAGATATTTGAGAAGCTAAATTAATTTCGAAAATGAAATTATATTTCCATAGTCTATAGAAATATACCCTGGTCTGGAAGCTTTTGTTTTATTTTTTTTCGGTCACGTGATCAATTTAGTTGCAAAACAAATCAGCCGTTGAAGTGAATTTTAAAAGATATATCAAAGAATCTTTAATTATAATTTATTTATAATTTATTTAAACAGTCCTTTGTAGAACTACATATAACTAAAATATTTAAGGCAATTCCAGTTAGTGAATGTTAAAAGACATTTCAAGGAGTTTTCACTTAATTTTAATTAAACAGTACTTTTTAGAACTACATTAGAACTAAAGTAATCGTACTTGTAAAAAAAAAGCAATGCCAGGTAGAAATTGCTGTCTTCCACAGAGCACAGTTTCTGATGCAAATAAACACAAGGAAAAGATAATTATCATACCATTTGGAGGAAAATGTAATAATCTATTAGATGGATTATTAAAAGAAAGAATAACCAAAGGAAATGTTTATTTTTATTACTCATGTAATATTTAATATTATTTTACATAAGTAATATATAATGGTATTGCATTGCAATTATAATGATCATTATAGTTAAAATGTCTATCATTTTAGAAATGGAGTGCAAAGTCCTATGGCTTACCTTTTCGTTGGTGCACTTCGTTAAATAATTTAGACAAGTCTTATGTCTAATTTATAAACCAAATAGCCAAGGCAACTTTTGTATTAATTTTGGTATATATATATACATATATATATATATATATATATATATATATATATATATATTTCACATCTGATTACAATAAAGAAAAACAACGTTTAGCAGAACTAAAAACGTGGCTAAAAGAATGCAAATATCCTAATAATATTATTGAAAAAGCATTTCACAACGCAAAACTCCAAGGACCAGCTCCCCAAAATCACTCAAAAGAAATTTTTCCTTTAGTTACATCTTTTTACAGCAATCTGAACTGCCAACCTTTTATTACTGAAACAAATCTTTTGCTTAATCTATCTTCAAATGAAAGAGTGAAAGAAGTTTTTTCTAATGTCCAACCAGTAATTGCGTATAAACAACCAACCAATCTACTGAGAACACTTACTTCTTCAAAAATTCAATCAACCACTAAAGAAGTAGGATTATTTAAATGCAATGATAATCGTTGCAAAATATGTAAATTCTACCTTCAAGAAGTTAAATCATTTACGACATCAAATGATACTATATGGAACATAAAAAGCCATATTGCTTGTAATAGTAAGAATGTAATATATTATTTAAAATGTTTGTCATGTAACAAGAAAGCTACATACACCGGAAAAACAAATAATCTACGACTTCGCACTAATGGGCACATTTCTAGTTGTAGATCTGGGCAATCAACAGGTAGGTTTGATAACCATGTATACAATTGTCAACGTGCGCATAACTCCATTATAAAACCTTTTTTCCAGCTTTTTGTGTTTGTGGAGCTAAAAAATGAAAAAAACCTAATTTAGAAACATTTTCACAACCAAAAACATGATACTTTTAATTGACATTACAATATAGATTACAATTGTTGCTAACAGCAACATTAAATAATTATCACTTCCTGTTTGGTTTTTTTTTAAATTATATTTTGTTGTTATAATAACAAAAACAGCACTACTGATGATTTTTTGAAAGGCCTCTAGTGCTAAAATTTATAATTAGAAGAAAATATTTCGTTTATTGTTTATTTTGTTGACTAACTTTTTTACTTATTGGTTATAAACATATTTCAAGTTATATGTAAATATATATATATATATATATATATATATATATATATATATATATATATATATATATATATATATATATATATATATATATATATATATATATGTATATATATATATATATATATATATATATATATATATATATATATATATATACATACATATATATATACACATATATTTCTCATAGTAAAAACTCAATAATGTTAACAAGATATATAAAATGATAAACAAAAACCTAACAATAAAGGAAGAGTATACATTAAAAGTAAAATAGTTCAGCTGTATAATTTAGCATTAGCTACTTCAATTCAGTTCAGCTTTATTGATTATTAATTTAACTAGTTCGGCTTTAATCTTTTTCTTTGTCTGTATTTAAAATCCTTTACACTGTTTTTTCGAATTTCATCAGAAAAGTGTTTCTGTTCATTGTTAAAATAAATATTTACAACAACGCGATTTACAAATTTTACACCAATAATTTGATGTTCATCGCATAAGAATGAAGAAGCACAACCATTTAATCTAAGTACCCGTTCTGCAGCATATCGATCAGAAAGTGTTGAGTCTCTTATAAGCAAAATGGCAGTATCTAATATTGCAAATGCTTTGGCAACATAATGTGTAAGATCAAGAGCTGGTAAAATCAATCCACCACGAGAAAGTTTTTCTAAATATTGACATTGTAGCTCACCAGATTCAGCTAATAGAAAAGTTTTGCAAATACCACATTTGATCTTTTTATTAAACTTTTTAACCACATAACCAGAAATAACTGTAGCAACTTCAAAGCTCTCTGAATCTAAACTGTATTTTTCAATATCTGGTAAAATTTCTTGCAATTTATCATTCAATAATTTAAATAAAGATATATTACAACTCTCTTTTCTAACATCTTCCTTCCAGATATTGACTGACTCTTTAAGTAAAGTTTTCAAAGCTAATATGCACTCAGATGTTTCAAGTTCACGCAAACCAATTAAAAATCTAACACCACTCATTTGACGATACTTTGAAAATCTTAGTTCTAATGGATCAGTTTGCAAGCGTGGTACTAAAAAATAATGATACCCTTCTTGAATTAAATCATCAATAAGTGAAGCTGTACATCTTAAAGTCATCCTTAACGCCTGTGATGTTTGTTTACTTAATGTAAAATTTTGAGAGTCGGAAACTTGAGGTAATTGCCAATTCTCAATCCATTCGGCTAGTTTCCTCAAAAATTAAGGTTTTATGTCACCCATAACAGCTGCATTTCCAATACAAAAATTATTGTTATATTTTTGCTTACTGTTACTTATTGTCCACCATATATTTATCAACTTTAAAAAGCTTGAGGCATCAGTCCTATCTGGAAAATAACTTTCAATAGCTGCAGAAGTTGTAGGATCAAATATTGCTAGAGCAAGTGGTACACTTTGTTCATTATCTCCTGGATGAAGTGATTTGTAAGATAATTTGAAACCTTTTTTTAAATTTGATTGAAGTAATTGGTCTTTATCATATACATCATGAAGTAACTTCCATGATATTTCACCAGCATGTACATTAATAACATCATGAAACTGATCAAAATGAAAAGCAGGGAAAATAAAACGTTTAGAATTCAGTAAATTGTTTCGTATGTTTTTGAGAAGATGGACAGCGTCAAATAATAAATATATTATACTATCTTTTTTTGTAGGATGAGTAATACTACTAACATGGTTGGTATTTTTATATTTTTGCATCAAATGTGAAAAAACAGAAGCATTAGTAGAATGATTATCAGAAATTACACCACGAACATGAAAACCATTCTCTTGTAGAGATGTAATGCACTCATCAACATGGTCAGCTAGTCACTTACCCTCAATTTTTACTTCTGGTATAGCTTTTATAACAAAATTAAACTTTTTTTTCAAAGTAGCAATCATGAAGGTCATTACACATTTAAATAAAATTCCCTTATTATCTACTCCTATCATTCTACCACCTTGATATTGCGCTTCTTTCTGCAAATATATTTCATCCATCAGTAGCACAACATCTTTACCTATTTTATCTTGGTTTAATGAACATTTTATAGATTTTAATGGTTCTACCCCACCTTTACTAACTTTTTTCAAAAGACTAAATGATGGCAGAGGAAACTGTTCTAATAAGACTTTATAAGCCTGCGCTGATGTATATCGAAGAATAAGGGAATATCGTAAAAGATTTGACGAAAACTTTGGCTGATCAACTGGTTTGTTGTATTTTATTTCATTGAGTTCAGTTATTAAACCATTTGACAAACTATTTTCTTCAACGTAATTTTTTATATAGGCTGGAAAATTCTCCAATACACTTTTTTCAATACACAGCCAATATTTCGAAACCATGGAGGTAATGGTGATTTAGAAAACTATGAAATATGCATAAATTTATCAACTACAATTGTTTCTGTAACTTCAAAAATACCTAAGTGCTGATTAATTTCTAACTTAAAAAATATGTATTTCCCATTAAATATTTTAAGCTGATACCCTTCAAAGCTAAAATTATTTAAATCATTTAAACAGTGAATTTTATCTTTTTCTATAAATATACTGGATTCATCCTGATTGTTTAATAAATGGCGGACAGAAGGTGGCTTTCTAGTTTTCGATGTAGTTGGATATACTGATGGTGGTATTTTTTCAGTTAAGCAATAAATAGTTGGAACGGGATTTAAGTCCCAAACTAATGTTACTCTTTTGCCAATTTTTACCAA